ATATGGGGGGTTTCCGAAAATTAGGGCTACCTTTTTTGGGGTCCCCACAATAAGGACTATAGCATCTAGGAATCTACATTGGGATCCCCCTATTTGGGAAACTACCATATGATTTGGTATTAAAGCTTATAGGGTTTGGGGTTTGTGTGGTTTAAGCAGTTTAGGGATCAGGACATCTATAACTTGCCACCACCGTGGCCACTGCGTACAGGCTTCGGATTTTAGTTGATAGGGCTTAGGCCTTTGTCTTAACTGTACGGCAAAGCCGCTAAAATCCAAGCCCGTAACCCGGGGGAAATGTCTGCCGCTGTGTTGGTGTTGGGGGTTTTGGGGCTTGTGATCTGAGGACTTAGCGATTTCAGGGTCTAGGATGTTGAGGGTTTAGGGTTTTAGGGCTTGGGGTTTCGGAGCTTAAGGTTGAGGGCCTAGGGTTTAGAGTTCGGAGAGTTGAGGTTTTCAAAGTACTTCATGGTAGCGTGACATGACTGTCTGCAGCCATATGGCGCCTCTACTTCACGTGTCTTAAGTATGGGTCATCAACCAGATCAGCCTTCTGTAAGACAAAGAGTTGGATTGGGATGATACAGCAAGACACGACTGAACGAATTAAAAGGGAAGGCTCGTCCACTAAATGATTACTACCTCCACCCAACCCCTGCGTGGTGTCTCTAAAGGGCGGAGGGAAGGAGGGAAGTCCTTCATACAGTTGTAACTATGCTAATGAGATTTGTACAGGTTATCAACCCCACATCTTACAGGTTCCGAAGCTGCGGGTTGCATTCTGAGAGTTGCGTGGTTAAGCTTTGGGACTTACCCTAAGGGTCCAAGTACCTAATAATCATATACTTACCCGAAACTGTACTACAATTACTATTACCCAACCAAATCCCAAGTACCTAATTATTGGGTACATGGACTCTCTGACTTAGGGACCTTCAACCCTTAACTTCCTCATGTTCGAAGCTGTTCCAGACTGCATCAGCGGTTGCGGTGGCTACAGCTACAAATTAAAGTAAGAAATTGCAGTCGGGGGGGGGGGGCTCTTTTTCCCAAATCCAAACCTGAATGAACTACTTTAAGAATCTGGCCACAGTCATTAAGCCTTTCGCCGAATCCCGGGTGCTTCAGCTTGTCATCTATATGTACACCTTATTGACTGATCATCTACAGAAGGAGAACTGTGCATGTACAAATAACGCTTCCTACAGACTTTCGAGTTCATAAACAGAGGAGCTCCCTTATGTGTTCCAGATTGGCAGGGCACTTCTGATAGACACCCATAGTACGGCACAGCACAGCATATTCTGAGAAACCCCACAAAAAACCGGCACGGTCAGACCTACCAGTCCCCATATGAGCACTGGACTAAATTTGTAATATATCCCTTAATAGGTCCCCCCAAAACCCTATGTAGTCCCCTAAAGGTCCCCCCCCAACCCAAATTTAGCCGGCAGCTCACATCTCTTTGTGCCATGAAACCCATAGGAGCACCCTTAAAGTTCTCAAGGTAGGCCGCCCAAGATGCTGCAGAAGGTCCATGTACCCAGAAACTAAGTACTTGGGATTTGGGGAATAGTAATTACAGTACAGTTTTGGGTAAGTATAATATGATTATTAAAATTGGACGCTTAGGGCTTGAGGGACCCATGATCTACTGAAGCCCGACGCCCCAAACGCCTCACAACGCTTAACCTCAGGTTACCCAAACCTTACCCTAAACCGCCGCCTCACAAAAAGGCCCATATCCCTAAACCCTGAACACTAAACCCTAAACCCTAAAACCCCCAAACCCCAAACCCTCAACCCTACACCTTAGAAATCCCCAAAACCTGCATCATCTTCTGCAGCCACAGCTTCATCTGGCGCATCATGATGCCAATGGTCACCGCTGGGCTCCAGGCCCTTGATGTACCAGCCTTAGCTGTCGCGAAGATAGGTTTCGCATTTGAAGACTGTTTTATCTATCTCGAAGGGTTTAGAAGTTGTTAGGAGTAAGGGTGTTGCAAAGGGTTGGGGCTTAGAGTTCAGGGTGTAGGGCTTCCCAAAATCCCAGGGCATTTCTGGACCCTAGGCGCATGTGGGGATTACAAAGAACTTACAGGGCAACCTTTGTAAACATGTTCTAGAGGTATTTTGAGAAAAACAATTGGGATTGGGGGGTTGGGTTCAGGATATAGAAGCAGTGCTGCCGCTTGAGAAAAGTTTCATGGGTTAGGGTTAGCGGGTGATACAGGGCTCACGCCCTTGCAGGGCATTGTCCCTTGCCCAGAGAGCATCCCAAAACGACCGCCCGCAGGTTGTTTGCTTTTACATCTGCAGCCTGCAAGTGTTACGCTATACGCTCCAGCCCTAGCCCCCAAGTAGTAGCTACCCACCTTGTTTCCATTATCCTTATACAGCCCCATAGAATATCCCCATATACTCTAAGCCCCAGTCTTCAACCTCGAAACCCGTATGTCCAACACCTACAGCCAGGTGGACAGCGCTTTCTGCGGCCACTGCACCGTACTTCTGGACGAACATGCGGTGAAGCACGTAGCGCACAGCCTGAACGCTCAAGTCTTGAGAGCAGCTGTAGTCAAAGGCAGGCAATTTGAGTAGCTTGAACCTTTTCAGGCACAATTGGAGCTATAGTTTAAACTCCTAGTAGCCCGCTTAGTAACCCCTATAGTATAGTCCCCAATATAACCCCCCTTTAAAGAGTTTAGACCATAGCTCAATTGGAAATCTCTGATCCTTGAAGCGGGTGGGTGCCGGGGCTAATGCGTCTGTTGTTACTTAACATACCATAGTACCATTACTCCCAAGGTATAAGGTACCTAAGGTCCTGCAGGATTTTTAGTATCCACCGTTACATTCTTTTCCGCAATAAGGAGAGGCCTCCGTAATCCCCTTTGGGTCCCTGCATATCCCAAGCTGCTATAGCTCGGGTTTAGGGTTTAGGGTTTAGGATTGAGGGTTCAGGGTTTCGGATTTAGGGTTTAGGATTTAGGGGTTAGGGTTTACGGGTTAGAGGGCTTCCAGGCAAGTACCTGAGGATTCGGGAGGATCATGATTCACAGCTACAGGTCTTCCGTAGCAGAACGTAGCCCTGCCTTATATCAACAAACTATTTTTGGAACCCCAGACGCGCAAAGCATCAGCACATGGTCTTTGCGGACTGCATAAGCCTGCTGAATTACCAACCATATTGATGTCCATTTGAAATACCTATACTCTGATTACGCAAGAAATCTAGGACCATAATACTAATGGTTGCTATGCCTTCCCCACATTACAATTCCTATAAACCACTATATAGCCTAAATCTTTAACCCCACACCCTGGACCTTTACCCGCGATTTCCTTTTGCATTTCTTTTCCATTTGATTCTTCAGTAGGCCTCAGGAGGGCCCTCCACCAAGTCACTCTGGTGGCTTTATGCCTGAACCTCTTCTTGGTATTGGGCTTTAGGGTTTAAGGTGTAGGGCTTATGCAAGACATCTCACGCCGACGAAGGGTACTAGGACCTATGGAGGCCTTTGTACCGTTTATACTCTTCCACCACATCCTCATGGCCTGAAGGGAACAGAGGCCTTTCAGGAAGCCTTTAGGGCTTAGGGTTTAGGGCTCTTAGGGTTCGTGGTTCGGGGTGTAGGGTTCAGGGTTTAGGGTCTAAGGTTCAAAGCCTTGAGCTCAGGAACCCAGGACACCCTACACAGTAGACAGTAAGTTGTCGAAATTAAGGTCCCCCACTGCTCCACATTAAACGGCTCCTAATATGTAGGGCACCCACAGTATCCGTATACATCCCCATATGAGCATCAGATACAGTTCATCTATTTCCCCCATAATTGATGGACATGGGCTCCTCTTAGGGAATATATTCTGGACTATACTAAACTAGCAAAGGGAACCCTATGTCCACCCTCCTTGCTACGCTTAATTCTGACCATAGCTCATATGAGCTATACACAAAACTCCTAGTATCCCCCCTAAATAGCCCCTATAGTAGCACCCTATAATCCTCATATAACCCCCTTTAAGGAGTTTAATAATCCCCCATATAACCCCCTTTAAGAATTTAATAATCCCCCATATAACCCCCCCCTCATGGAGTTTAGACTACAGCTCATATAAAGCCCTATAGAATCTCCAACGGGCCCTTCCGCTGCCTGGTGGTCGATCAAGCCTTGCCTCTGCCAATTGCACAATTTAGGGTTGAGGGTTTAGGGTCTGGGGTGTATAGGGTTTATGGGGATGATAGGGTCCATAGGGTTTATGGGGATGATAGGGTGTATAGGGTCTAGGTCTGCAGTTTAAGCTTCAGGGTTTAGGGTTGGAGTATTGGGTTTACGGTTCAGGGGTTGGAGTTGAGGGCTTAGGGTTCGTCTACTTGTATGATGAGAGGGTTCAAGGTCTACAGTTTGGGGTTTGGGGCTCAGGATTTAGGGTTGAGGGTTTTGGGTATAGAGTTCAGGGTCTGCGGTGTCCTCTCTTCAGGGTGCCAGGAATGTTGGGGAGAGGAGGTAAGGCTCAAGATGGTGCTTGAAGGGTCTAAGGTCTCATGGAATGTTGTCAATGAACTTAAATCAGATTCGCCGAGGCTGGTCAGGGCGCTCGGACCCACCAAAAAACCCCTCTACTCCCCGTTGCTGACCACCCACAACCCCGGCCACGTCCCCCTACCCTCCAGTGGTGAGCGGCCCAGTGAAGCCCTTTGGGACAAGAAGCGTCAGGGCTCAAGTAGAATCGCCTAGCAGCTACTATCATACCCAAGCCCCTGAACCATGAGGAAACAGACCGCACGACAGGGACCCAATAGTGCGACCATAAGAAGGAAGCAGCCCCCAAACCAGAAGATCCCAGGGCTCAGGATTTAGTAGGCCATGCTCGCTTCTTTTTCTCTTTCGCCAACCAAATCCACCAGCACTAAAATGAAACCTTGATCCTTGCGAAGTTTTTTCGACTCCTTCTCTCCGATAGTGATCCTTCTTATCTGCAATTGCACAGGCTACTCCACTACAACTCTAACTTTCTCGACCCTTTATAAGCTGCCTATCTTTCATCTAGCTACATCGTCGAAGTCAAGCTCTTGCAATGATAATACGCGCGCTGCAAAAGATGGAGCTTAGCTTTATAAACAGCTTCATATCCCTGTATGCCCTGCACAACGGAAAGCTAGTGTAGGAAGTCGAAGCACCCTGTGCTCAACATATTCACTACCAAAATAATGTACTACAATATACTATATGTCATACTAGATCATAATTATACTATACTAGACTATACTATATTATATTATTATGAACTACAATATACTATACTATGCTATATTACAATATACTGTGCCATACTATAACACACTAATTTCCCACCAAACTCTCGGGCAGGACTCGCTCTAGCGAGTTGGCAGGCCAACATGCCGTCTCAGGCCAGCCCTCGTTGAGGGATGAATACAGTATAGTATATTGTAGTATAGTACTATATATTATACTATGGAATATTATACTATAGTATAGTATAATGTATTGTAACATATCATAGATAGTATAGTCCAATAGATTCTAATATAGCATATTGTAATATATTGTAGTATATTATATTGGTAGTCAGACTTAGGACCAACAGTTTGAAGCCTAGACCCACAGGTATGGAGTTACAAAGACAGCGAACCAAGTCTTGGCGACTGGCAGCAAATACGTTGCACTGGAACCCGAAGGCTGAACTTGGAGCCCCGCGAGTTCTTTGGCAGAGCGGTGTATGTAGGGAGAAGTGCCTTCGCGGCTGCCCGGCTGTGTCTACGCTGAAACCAAACCCTGATGTCTCATCCCTGCTAGTAAATGAATCGGATTATTGGCTCGCTGCAGTCCCTGTACATGCTATGCTCTCTGAAGCTCTGGAATGCGTTGAGCGGAATCCTTTGAACATGAGCTGATGCACGCATCAAAAATTACAATGAACGGTCACACAAAACCCTAAGCAGCGTACAACATGTCGCGAACTAAAGACACGTCTCTGCTTGACCCGCGCGCTTCAGGATGTTGGTGGAACAAGCCAAACAGATACGGCTAAGAGTTTAGGGTATAGTGCTTAGGGTTTAGGGGTCCTTCACCACGGTGACATACGGCCTTGTGTCATGGAGGCTCTGTGTCTTGCGAGGAAACCAATTCCAGCCCCACAAATACATGCATTCCTTTACAGCTCCAAGTGCTACAAGTACTTGGGCCCAAAACCCTAGATCCCAGAGCCCGAACCATCATCTCTTGTCTCCCGAAAAACCTCATGCTGACCCGAGTCAAACCGCTGTGCCATACCCTGCACCTTGAGACACCAAACTCAAAATTGGGTTGAAAGAAAGCCCCTCTACATCTTGCTCGAGGCGAACTGTTGTTTATCGCTTTGTTGTCCTCTTGCCGGTTTCCAAGTTTTGTGCCTTATCGTTTTGTTGTGGCTCATTCCTCTTTTTTATTCCAGCCCAAAACCTATACTGCGCTCTTCGCGGCAAACCCGGGACGTAATCTTATGGCACGGGGTTATTCCCCACACCCGAATTAAAAACACCAAGCCCTAACTGACAGCCTGAAATCCCGTAGCCTCCACATCCTTGACGCCAAGCAGTCGGTTTCGCATACCACCCGCTAACCCTAAACCATAAACCCTCAAGCATAAACCCTAAGGCATAAACCCTAAACAGCAAAAAAGTCTCTCAAGTCCACTACGCCTGAGAAATCGACATGCACTCCTTCCTCCTTAAGTAGATAGAATAGCTGTATATTGGGATAATGGAAAAGAAAATGGAAACTAGGGTTTAGGGTCCCCCTTAAGTAGATGGAATATGGCTTTGGGTATGTCATAATAAGATCCCCATATACCCCATATCCTGTCTACTTAGGGGGGGGGACTACAGACTTATGCCCGTACATGCTGCTTTGCTCACTGTCACCAAAATTCCAGAACAAATAAAACCTTTGCATGACCCCAAAACCATCGCGAAACAATGCTGCCTCAAAATCTGTCAACCACTCCAACAAATCCGAAAGCTTTAATTAAGCTCCTCAACCCTGTATAAGCCTCCAAACTGTCAACTTACTGTCTGTCAGTCAAGAATGGAGGAGTCGATCCGTAAGACATCCCCCCCATAATTCACTATATTGTAAATTTCCATGTTCTGTCTGTTCCTCCGTTCCTCCTCACTGACGACCAGCAAGTAAACCTAAAACACGTGCAACTCGCCTGGTGGAGTTCCGTGCGCCTCTGGCCCTTATCGCCGGTGCCCACCATATCCAGCAAGCTTTGCTGGACCTGGCCAAGGATGGACAAGATCCAGAGGCACAGGGTCCTTGAGGGTACATAACAGTTTTCAGCATGCAGACTTTACTGGAATGAAAGGTGAGGATTCTGGGAAGTTCTGCGCTTGGGAACACATGTCTGCGAGTCAATGGTCTAAAGTGGTGCTTTGCACCCTGATCGCTGCAGTAGTACTAGGAATTCATACTCTACTGGCAGCACTACTACAGTTCGCCTTTATATGCTAAGCACCACAGTGTGAAGAATCAGTCAGGGGTTCAGTGGGCTGCTGTTACGGAACGCTAATTAAGTTACGATACTACGGGTATGTCGTGAATAATGGTGTTTTCTTTTGTCGTGGCTTGAAAAAGTTCCTCAAAGGCAGCCCAGATTATGTAGATCTCTGCACCACATCTCACCAAAGTTCCAGTAACCAGTATGTCAGACGGCTCTTAGGTAGACATCAGGCGGCTTAGGGTTTAGCCTTTAGAATGCAGAAGGGATGATGAAAACGAAGACTCAATCCCAGCACACATCACCTGAACTCTGAACCCCAAACCCGAAACCCTAAGCCAGAACAAAACAATCCGAAATCTTGCTTCTTCACAACACAGCGCTCAGCAAAATGTTCTGTCAACTGCCTACTTTACAGATGTATCATGTAATGAGGGAATGCTCCTACAAACGACTTGGACCTGTTGAGACAGAGCTGCAGATCCAATTATGATCTTTGCACACTGCATCAGGTAATTGAAATTTCTGTTGTTATCATGCTTATTGCTCTTGTTCTCATTCTTACTGCTACTAGTACGTTTGCAATACTGTTGCACATGCATGCCGCGTGCCTCATTCTCAGTGACTTCATTCGAGTCCAGGAAACTGTGCGCATGCGATCCCGCAGCCAGAGCGAGAACAATGAGCAAAGGCCTTGGCAAAGGAACCCTTAACCCTAAACCCCCCCCCTTTGGATTCCGAGATTTTGGGCTTGACAGATGGGTTCCCAGCTGCTGAGCTTCTAGCACCCTAAAAGCCAGTAAGCTTTTTGTCATGTGCGGTCTACACACTATAACCCCAAATCCCAAACCCTACACCCTAACACTCAAACGACAGACACGCTCAACACAGGCCATGGGCGAGGCCTTCGGATCCCTTCCATAGCTCCTAAGGCAGCACCCCCAAGCCCATTGGGTTTAAGGTTGCAGGTGTGGGGCTTAAAGGAAAAGGACTTACCCCCAAGCCAGATGGTTCCAGGATGAAGCAAGCTTCATTGTTTCGAGCGCCCTTAACCAACCACCTTGAACAAAGTACCTAACGCATCGTGTTGAGAATAATATGTAGTAGTTTCCATGTTCTTTTCCATTATTCCTATAGAACCCCAAGAATCCCTTTAGTTTCCATGTCCTTTTCCATTATTCCTATAGAACCCCAAGAATCCCTGCAGTTTCCATTTTCTTTTCCATTATTAACCTACTTAACATGCTTCACCCAAGGTCCAGCGTTCAACCCTGATGCTCAGATTCACTGCTACAGGCCGTTGGTATCCTGCCCCTCAAAATGGATGGTTGTCAAAATTACGGTCCCTTAATTGGGTACCCTAAATACAAGGTGCCGTATTCTAATGGGACCCAAAAAGGGACCATAATTTTGACAACCACCCAAATGAATCCCCACAAAGCTCCTGTCACAAGGACTGCAATCTTCATGGAAGCAGGTTGTGGGTCTGCTTGTTATTTTGGGGGAGTGCAAGAATGGAGGTGGTTAAGGCTAGCGCAGAGATCCCGTCGCCATAGTGGTCCGGACAAAGAGATCAGCCACGAGAATGGTCCTTGGTCGTTGCAGTTTGATTCCAGTTTAAGTGGGTTTAGGGGTGTAGGGTTTAGGTGGGTGGCAGGAAGTCAGTGTCGAGTGTTCTGCCTTCGGCGCAATGGCAAAAAAGTTTGGAGTTGAGGGCGCAGAGAAGTATTATTGGCACCCCTCGATGCTGGAAAAACATGTTACTGCCGAAAGCCCTTCGGTTCTACAATTTAAGATTCTTGAGCGCTACTGGCTTTGCAAAAGCTTCCAGAAAGTGACCCGTCAGAACCTTTTCTCGCTGAACAGCGAAACTCGTTTCTCTTTTGATCCCCCGAAGGGTATGGGCAGGGTTCTCAACTTCAGGGTGTATGGTTGACTGACACTAAAAGCAGTTGCACAAGAGGTAATAGCGTACCACGGGTACCGGGTTAAAGCAGACATGGGCAACCGCTGTTAGCATGCCCCTGCTAAGACTAACGTTAAGGTCCTAAATGCTCATTTGGTTCCGTCAGCTTTTCATCCTGAAGTTGCAGCGAAGGGCATTCTAGCTGGTAGGAATTAAGCTGTTTTATGACTTCTTTCTGCCCACATGACAGGCACCGGATTCATGAAAGAAGTCAACCGCCACCTTCGGAATGTGTTGATATCACGAAGGCTTCTCCAAATTGAGGTACTTTTGGTACTCTTGGGCGCTTCCGGGATATATGGGGATGGTAACGGGGAGTGCGAGCGCTTATGACGAATGCAGGGAGTTTATTTTAAGAGCTTTTACATGTAACATTCAGTGAACACGCCCGCCTCTTTACTCCTGATCCTGCTACACATATGTGTTGCACCCTGCCGCCCGATGTAAGGGCCATCTTTGACCAGATTGTTTGATCACGCAACTGACAGTGTTGGACTGCCTCTGCACCCTGCATCTGCACAAACAGATCTTGAACCTGCGGCTTCCTAGCCCCAAGCCCTGAACCATAAACTCTGGATCCGAAACTCTGGGGACCCGGACTTTGGCAGGCAGAAGAAGGATATGCACGAAGGCTGAGTTATGTTGGAAGACTGATAGCCGACAAGGCTGCGATCGTCGCGAGCTGCAATTGTGAGATCAAGCTGATACATCGGAAGCAGGGTCCCCTAGCATGCCCCAAGACAACGAGAAACGCATAGTGAGATTCTTGCTCTGGCAGCGCAAGAAATTTGAGCAAGCCATATCTCAAGCTTGAACGGAGCACGAGTTGGCCTTGGGGCGGAACAACGTTGCCTAATGCCAACTGTTTTAGAAGACTATTCCTAGTTGAGGGTCACCTGACACACCAGCAAACAGAAGGCCGACGATTACATGCACCTTGGCCAAGGCAGTACAGAAATTGAAGGCTTCCACTGTTGGTTTCGGGTCCCAAATCCGCAACTCTTCTCCAGTAGAATGTAAACGTAAATGAAGCTGACAGGGTTTTGTTCCTTGCAAGGTTGGTACCGAGACCCTCCAACTAACTCTATTCAGGCCTAAGTAGCCACTATTAGGGGACCCTATAACCCCAACTAAGGGTACCAGGCGGGTCTTGGTACCTAAACCCCTATATAATCCCAGTGTCCACGTCATTCCATTTTCTTTTGCGAAAAGGGATGCATTAAAGGCCCATTTTGACACGCTCATCAAAAACAGGGCTTCTTGATCTTTGCGTGTCTAGTTTCCATTTCTTGTTCCATCAATGTGATAACGTACCCCTAAACCAAAAACCCTGCATCACCTGCATACAACCCCAATTAAGGGTACTAGGAGGGTCGTGGTGTTAGCATTTCCTCTGCCACCACCTTTCCAGCCTGACCCTTAGGATTTGGGGTTTAGGGTTTTGGGGATTAGGGGGCACAATCCCATAATGGGGAATCAACTGGAAAACGAGATCGAAACTGGCACAATGTTTCGTGTTCACCTGAACCCTCGAATTATGTAGACAAGTGGCCTTTGTTTAACTTTGTTAGGGGTTCTGGGCCAACATTTTTCCTACTCTTGTAGGTAAGGGCATGAGCTTTCAAGGTTTAAGGGTTTCGGGTTTTGGGAATTAGGGCTTAAGGACGTAGTATGGTACAATGAAGGAACCAGCACAGAAGACACTGGAGATCATGATGGCAAGTAATTAAACATCCACATGAAAGGAAGTCGCTCCCTTCCAGCCCCAACTCATAGGATTCGCCCCACATCTCTCCCCGATAAGCCTAGTTCAGTGGAATGTTCAGAAAATTCTGACTCAAAGTTACACGCAAAGGCGCAGGTCTCAAAACAAAAGCCAACCATGACTAAGACACTTCATGCCATCAAGCTTTAAGCAATTAGCTTACAATACGTCACAACCAGCAAATGCCATAAATCCGGAAATTGTCGATCCTTGAACTCGAGACTGCATAAGTTCAGCAACCTGAAACCTCAACCAAACCCTAGGACCCTAGGGTTTGGGGTTTAGGGTTTAGGAGTTGGGGTTTAATAGGGTTTAGGGAATGGGGAAATAGTAGGCTACTGGGCTTTGGTAACTATAGGGTATATAGAACCTCCGAAACCCTAAACCCTAATCCCTGAACACTATTTGAGCCCTAGTCTAAACTCCTAGCATCACCCTTAATAAGACCTATAATACTCCCCTATATAATCCCCTATATACCCCCCAGTTTAAGAAGTTTAGACTATAGCTCATTCAGGTTTATCTAGACAACTGAAACCCCAACCAAATGAAATCCCTAAACCCTAAACCCTAAACCCCAAACCCTAAACCCCAAACCCTAATCCCTACACCCTAATCCCTAATCTCTACACCCTAATCTCTAAACCTGAAGCCCCAACCGGATGCACTCGCTACGCGCCTTCCCTTTGCCGCCGAGCTTGGCTAAGCATTGCGCAGTCATGCAGAGATCCTGGCTGAGACGCTGTTTAGGCTCAGCGACTGTGCCCATGGTTTTGATCGTTCAAATTCCAGCCGTGAGCACAAGGACTTATTCTGAGAGATGCACTGGACCCAACAAAATGCAAAATGAAGGCCCAAAATCCTGAAGAAAGGCCAACCAAACTGATTTTCTGTTTATCTAGGGCTCAGGTACTCCCCTTTGTTCATACACGCCCGTCGCAAAGACATTGATCGACTCATCTAGAGCCCCTGAACCCTAAACCCTAAACCCTAAACCCTCAAAACGGGGGCATCTTGAGGGATGCTCACATTATGAGGAGATTATGAGGTCCCCTGCGAGGTTATATCAGGGTGGTTTGGGGGAAGTAGAACCAGGTGATATCAAACGTTAAACCCTAAGGTGCGCAATATTTTCAAGTCAGACTTAGGCTTATGGCATCCCAGAAATAAATGGCTACTCGTTTATGCTCTTGTTTTTCAGTGTAGGAAGTAGTGGAGCAGTAGGTTGTGGGAGCAAATGGCAGCCGGGTAGTGGTTGTTATGAATTAGCGAAGGGACCCAAGTACAGCAGGGTTTTATGGGCTTTGCTGAATGTATATTGGGATCCCCAGGAGTGTTGGTGGGCGTAGACATTTAGTGTCCAAAGTGGTGGACCAAAAAAATCTATTTTAAAAATCTTACCGAAAATAATGTGCAAGGGTCTGGGTATACTTATGCCCTAACATCATCAAAGCGCTGAAGGCCCTAGCCATCGTAGTTGCTCTGGTTTCTACACTGGTGGCAGTTGCAATGAAGGCTGATGTTGTACTGGTGGTGGTGGTCACTGGTGACGTTGACGACGAAGTTGAGAAGTGTGCAACAAAAAAATCCGGGCCAAGCACATGTCTGCCAATGCTATACAGACTGCTTCGGAGCTTTTTTCAGGACCGTGCCTGAGGGGCTTCTGATAAGTGACTTTGAGCGCAGCTTGAAGCAGCTCTCCGCACCAAAAACTATTCAAGAAGCATCGTCTCCTGACATATCTCAGCCACCCCAACTTCAGGCATCCTCGAAACGTCGACCTTATCAGGACGTCTCTTACGCTCAGGGAGGCCGGACTACCAAGAATACGGCATGCTTCGTGACATAAACATTCCTGGCAGATGGTCTGTCTCACAGCAGGGCACACCGCCCTGGACTGCTTGCTTGAGCCTGAGGAGCAGGCTCATCAGTCTCATACCTCCCTGTAATGTGAAACTTGCCATTAGGCTCACCTGTGAGAGTTATGGTCTTCACCTTATGAACACGAGGTGGCTCTGGCGGGGCCTCAACCTCTGCCGCAACCACCGTGCCGCTGAACCTGGCGGACACCTTGAAACGCTTGCCCATGCGCAAGGTTGCAACGAAAGCCATAGCCAAAAAGGTCAACCCACCGAGAATGATCACCGACTCGATACACCCGTTAGAGATGTCTACGATGTGGATATGCTGCGCAAATAGCCTTTTCAATTGCACCTTGAAGTTGGAGGACTCCTCCAAGCTTTGAAGGTTCTGCATGACTAAGGCTTCCGCTATGTTATCCTTCAGGCGATCCTCAAACCCTTGGGGTCAGCCAAGTAGTCGTCATCATAACTCAGGTCCATCTTCAGGTTGATTGCAACATCACCCAGGTTCAACTTGCCAAGGAGCGCGGGAGCCGACAGTGCTGCGCCACATTGAAGGCTTTTCAGGTTGTACTCTGCGAGAACCGCGCACTCCTCCAACGACATTGTTCTCTGCAGCACTTTCTTCATGCACGCCAAGACCTCGCAAGATCCTGAGATTTCAATGTTATTTTTTGCCAAGAAAACCGGAGTGGACTCATACGGGATGTTGAACTTTGAACTGGCGGTCAGCATGAGTATCACCAGGCACCAGGTCATAGATGTACTGAATTTCTGGACTTTCCTGCTCTGGCTGCAAGCCTTGCATTTGCTTCGGCAGCACAGGCAATGGAAGGTTGGGGGGCAATGACAACGATGCAGCTTGTGCCGGGAACTTGGTAAGCTTTCACCCAACCACTACTCACCAAGGCATGGACGCTTGGGGATACGTATTCCTGGATTTGCAAGAAGTCACCCCACTCACCACTGCACACCTTCTCCGCGTAGATGCTGCCCAA